TGTGGAATATTGGAGCATCGGTGATCCGTCCCACAGTTGTGCGCATTGTGGAGCATTATTTTGGTATGAAGAAAGAACTCTTAGAAATTCTTCGAAAAAAACATGAAGTATTCTTTGTGTTGCACTCAAGGGAAAATTAAACTGCTTCAATTAAAGGAGCCTCCATTAGAACTACAACAACTCATTAATGGAAGCGATGCAGTTTCTAGACACTTTCAAGAAAACATCTGTTCATACAACAACATGTTTTCGTTCACTTCGATGGGAGGAAGGGTAGATAGAAAACTGAACAAGGGTGGATCACCCCCAGTCTTTAAGCTAGGAGGCCAAAACTATCACCTCATTGGGAGTTTGCTACCACAAGAAGGAAGCATGCCGAAATTTGCGCAACTATATATATATGACACCCTACATGAAGATGCTAATCGTTTGAGCTCAGTGAGGCACTTTTATAACCTTAGAACTCATAAACAAATGTAATCGTGCACACATGTTGTTAGCTATGATTATATGGTATTCTTTTACACATTTCAGGGATGATGAAAAGAAGAACAATTTGCATGTACATATTGTGACCACATTAAGGAGAATGTTAGACCAACATAATGTTTTAGTTAAGTCTTTTAGAATGGTTCGAGATAAGCTAGCTGAGGGTGGGGAAATAAAAGTATCCCTAAAGTTAATAGGGAGGAGAACCAAGGATGCCAGAACTTATAATTTACCGACAGTTTCAGAGGTAGCGGCATTGGTGGTAGGTGATTTTGATGAATCACTTGGGCAAAGAGATATCATGGTTGAAACTCAAGGAGGCCACTTGAAAAGAATTAATGAGCTAAATCCAGCATATTTGGGATTGCAATACCCGATTTTGTTTCCATATGGTGATGATGGGTACAGGGAGGATATAGCCTTTTCTGATGAGAGATTGTCAAAAACGCGCGGTCGACGAAGTGTTAGCATTAGAGAGTTTCTTGCTTACAGATTGCATGAACGAGCAAATGAGGACTCTTTCATCCTTAAGAGTAGGAGACTGTTCCAACAATTCACAGTAGATGGATACACAATGGTTGAGTCATCAAGGCTAATGTATATTAGAACCCATCAAAAAGAACTTAGGTGTGAAATGTACAAAGGTCTGTCACATGCTTTGTTGAGCGGTGAGAGAGATGCGTCCACACAGGGCAAGCGAGTTGTCCTTCCACCGACATTCGTTGGGGGTGCTCGATGCATGGTTCAAAATTACCAGGATGCCATGGCTATCTGTCGATGGGCAGGGTACCCAGATCTATTTTTGACCTTCACTTGCAACCCACGATGGCCTGAAATTAATGCCTTCCTTTCTTCAAGGAATTTGAATCCCGAAGATCGTCCATATATAGTTTGCCGAGTGTTTAAGATGAAGTTGGATGGCTTGATCAAATACCTGAGACAAAGTAAGATATTTGGAGAAATTCGAGCAGGTATATTAAATATGATGTGTATTGAATTATGTAAATGCACATTTATAGATATGTGTTGTGTGTGTGTAACGACATTGCTATGTTCATTGTTCACCGTGATATACACGGTTGAATTCCAAAAGCGTGGTTTGCCGCATGCTCACATTCTATTATTCATGGGGAATGCAGACAAATTCCCCACCCCAGCACACATTGACCGCATTATATCAGCTGAAATACCTGACGAGCAAACTGATCCAGATTATTTTAAAGCTGTATGCACACATATGATGCACGGACCATGTGGAAGTGATGCAAAGAATGCCCCTTGCATGGTTCAGTCTAAATGTTCAAAGCACTTCCCAAAGAACTTCAACGACCAAACTATCGTTGATGAAGAGGGTTATCCTAAATATAGGAGGCGGAATGATGGAAGAACAATCGTCAAAAGTGGTGCGCCGCTTGATAATAGATACGTTGTGCCCCACAACAGGTCGTTGTTGATGAGGTACGGTGCTCATCTTAATGTGGAGTGGTGCAATCAATCGAGGTCAATAAAATATTTATTCAAATACGTGAACAAGGGACATGATCGTGTCACAGCGGGATTTTATGAAACATCAGGTAGAGATGACATTGAGAAACCTGTTGATGAAATAAAATAGCACTATGATTGCCGGTATATCTCTCCATGTGAGGCAATGTGGAGAATTTTCGACTTTGAAATTCAGTACAAGAATCCAAGTGTTGAACGTTTGAGCTTTCACTTTCACAACGAACAGTATGTTTATTTTGAAGATGGTGCAATGGTAAGTGACGTCGTGTTGCGTGAATCTGTTAAGGAGAGTATGTTTCTTGCATGGATGAGAGCAAATGCCGAGTACCCCGAGGCAAGGGATTTAACTTACGGCGAGTTCCCTCAAAAGTTTGTTTGGAAAGCAGCAACAAGAGAATTCGTACCTCAGAAGAAGGGGTTTGCAATAGGTCGTCTAACGTATGTGCCTCCGGGATCGGGAGAATCTTATTATTTGCGATGTGTCCTTAATTTGAGGTGTGGGGCTACAAGCTATGATGATCTTAGAACTTTTGATGGAATTATTCATAATACATATCGCGAGGCATGTTTCGCCTTAGGGTTGTTGGACGGTGACAAAGAGTACGTTGAAGGATTTTCAGAAGGTAGTTATTGGGCTTCTGCATGGTTATTTAGAAAGTTGTTTGTGATTTTATCGGTAGTAGACACAGTGAGTAGACCAGAATATGTGTGGGACAAGTGTTGGACATTTATGTCAGATGACATTCTACACAGGCAAAGAAGAGCTTTGATGCATCAAGGTACTAAATCGTTGATATTTTACACATACATATACCGATACACACACATATGTACGTATATATATATATTCAAAAACATACATTATATATTAGGCATGTTCTTTGATACTGCTCTTTAAATGTGTAATATCAGATTTGAAACTTACCGAGGCTGAGATTAAGAATTATGCATTGACTGAAATAGAAATGATGTTGAGGAGAATTGGTAGGACTTTAAAGGACTATCCATCAATGCGATTTCCCACGATAAGTGATGCTGCCATGTATCAGAACAGGCTTATTTTTGACGAATTGCAGTACGATCGTGCTGCGCTACGTGAAGAGCATGACAAATGCATGCAGAGTCTCAATGATGAACAACGTCAGGTGTACACAACCATTCTGCAATCTATTGAAGAAAATCATGGTGGGGGTGTTCTTTGTATATGGTTATGGAGGTACATGGAAAACGTTTGTGTGGAAGACGTTGTCGGCTTCTTTGAGATGCAAAGGAGAAATTGTTTTAAATGTTGCTTCGAGTGACATAGCAGCTTTATTGTTACCGGGTGGTAGGACGGCTCATTCACGCTTTGCAATACCAATCAACCCGAATGAGAATTCCACATGCAACATCAAACAAGGTAGTCCACTAGCTCAATTGATCATTCGGTGCAAACTGATCATATGGGATGAGGCGCCGATGATGCACAAACATTGCTTCGAAGCCTTAGATAGAAGTTTGCAGGACATCTTGAGATTCACTAATTCAAATAGTGGTGAAAAACCCTTTGGAGGCAAAACGGTGGTATTCGGTGGAGACTTCAGACAAATTTTACCTGTCGTTACAAAAGGTACTAGACAAGACATTGTGAATGCCACGATTAATTCTTCCTATATTTGGCATGAATGTGAGGTATTACGTTTGACGAAGAACATGAGGTTGCAATCATTGACTGATGATCATGAATATGAAGATTTGCTTGAGTTTGCAAAGTGGATTGCGAGTTTAGGGAATAGGACTGCAGGGGGAGATAATGATGGCTTTGCCAATGTTCAAATTCCAAACGAGTTTTTATTAGAGTGTGGAAGTGACCCCGTTGCCACTATTGTCCAAAGCACCTACCCAAACTTTGAGAATACTGTGAATGACCCGACTTACTTGCAAGAGCGTGCAATTCTGGCTCCAATCCTTGATGTTGTCGATGCAATCAATGAATACATGACTTCTTTGAATGTTAATGAACAGTCAAGGACATATTTAAGTTCAGATAGCATTTGTAAGTCAGACTCGAATTCTGATTTTCTGGCTGATTTGCATACTCCAGAATTTCTCAACAAAATATCTGCATCCGGAGTTCCGAACCATGAGTTAACCCTAAAGGTTGGTACTCCAATCATGCTTTTAAGAAATATTGATCCTTCGATGGGGCTTTGCAATGGAACAAGGTTAATTGTTACAAGGCTTGGAACTCACATCTTAGGGGCTAAAATTATGGGCGGAAAATATGCTGGGCATGAAGTTGTCATTCCGAGGTTAAGCTTAACTCCTTCGGATTCAAGAATACCGTTCAAGTTTCAGAGAAGACAATTTCCAGTGATGACCTCTTATGCGATGACTATAAATAAGAGTCAGGGACAATCTTTGTCTCATGTTGGACTTTTATTGAGAAAGTCGGTTTTCACGCATGGTCAACTGTATGTTGCAGTGTCAAGGGTAACAAATCCTAAGGGTTTGAAAATATTGATCTGCGATGAAGATGGCCAACCAACTAACCATACGACCAATGTAGTTTATAAGGAAGTTTTTCGTAATGTGTAGGTTGTGAAACCCTATATAACGTTTCCTTTTTTCTGCTTATTCCAAAACATGCTTACTACCTATCTCCGAATTTTCACTATGTCATCTTTAAAAAGATTTTATTATGCATGTTACGTATATGACAAATTCCTTTCATTTCACACAATCAAATACTACCTCCGTCCCACTATGATTGTCACGTTTTACCTTATCGGTCCGTCCCACTAAGATTATCTCATATCAAATTAGGCAAAGTTTGTGTGGTTCTAAATCATTCTTACTTTATTCTTACTTTATCAATTCAATATCAACCACATTAACAATTTTTTATTGATTTGCGTGTCACTCCCTCTTGTTCCATTGTTAGCGGGACAGAGGGAGTAACATTTAAAAATAATGAACTTTTAAACGTGTACAAACATATTTTTTGCAAAAATCGATGTCCACTCCACCCATCCTATTAACCTATACATTCTTCCACCACTTCCACGCTTGACAACCTCACCTACGAAGTACGAACTAGCGAAGGCACCAAGCGAGAAGCCACGAAGGCAGTCAAGGCACGAGGCCCTCCACACTCCCATCCGGCCAGCCGTCGTCGTCTAGCGTCCTTGCGGAGCCCTCTAGTCCAGCTGCCCAGCCAACTTGCGCCGCCGCCCGCTGTCCAGGGTCCTGCACTCCTGCGTCGCCGCGTCGGCCGTCAGCGTCCCTGCGAGGCTGCGACCTGCGTTTCCCCGTTGCTGCCTCCTGGACGGCATAGCGGCACTGAATCCAGTTTCGCCTCCCGCCTCTAGCTCTCTCCTACTATCCCAATTTTGCAATCCGCTATCCAGGTATTACTCTTTGTCTATTACTTTATTTGTTTTTTTAATCTACTTAGTATTTGATTATTAGTTGAATTCCTTAGTAGGTAATAAAAAGTGTTTATTCATTATAATGATTAAAGATAAATTTAGTACATGTCTTAATTCTATTAATGTAAAATGTATTCATAATTGTAGTCCTTTTAATTGTAATGGTAATACATCAAAATTTCATATACAATTGAAGATTAGAGAATGATTTATTTATTTATTGTTTGGGCATGCAAGAAAGAAATTAAAAGTTTAAATTCAATTTTTAAATTGGGAATTAGATTGAAATGTTTAACGTAAAACAATTACTATTACTTATTAGTTATAACAATTTGATGTATTAGTTTTATACTTTTATAGAAGTATTTTAATTCAAATCTCGTCACCAATATTTAAAAAGTTTAAAAAGTTTTTTGGAGGATAATCAACATATTGACAAGAAAGGAAAGAAGGTGATTTCATCATTCTTTACTGAAGTGGATTGTCAAACATATCTATATTGAACATTTGAATGAGATTTTGTCAATAATATAGATGTAGATTCTATTATTGATTGAGTTTTATACTTTGAAGTCGTGTGTCGGGCACAATGTAAATGATGTTTTGATGAATATTTAAAGCATTGACTTTTTTAAGTATTGACATATCGTTATGTATTTGTCTTCAAATTTTATTTTTCAGCCCAGCCCATTGTGTAACTTTGTGGATCCGCCTCTCCTCGTAACCCGTAAGTATTGCTCTCCCCTAGTTCTCACCCATAATTTTCTTCGCTCGTGCTGCTCAATGTCAGTGATGATAGTGACGAGCTTGGGAGATTTAGTGGTGGACTTGTTCACAGATCGCTGTCCTCTGACGTGCAAAAACTTTCTGAAGCTGTGCAAGTGAGTCCGCATGCTACAATGGTTTCTATTGATTTGATGTGTTCTAGTATGTCAATGCAACTTATCTATCATATTCTTCATACTGGTTTATCATATTTCGTTCAGCTTAAGTATTGATTAGTGTGTTTGAGAAAGTACATTATAATCCGATTAAGTTCGTCTGTTCGTGCATAGTAGATGTAAACACTAGCGCCCCAAATGTTTACATAAGATTCTGAGTTTGATGTCGAGTCTGTATTTTAGCTCAAATTCCGATCAGTATTACAGATTTGGGTTTTGATATTCAGAAGTGAATAAATCAACAAATGACTACCCGGCTTTGTTGTTTATGTGTTGAATTTATTAAGTTTTAAAATCGAATTCGTTTGATTTCTGTCCATACGAGCAACATGAAAGCCATTTCTTTGTGAAAAGGTCCATCTTTGTTTAAAATAATAGCTAATATACTCCATAGCTAACCAGTATAAAATCTTCTTTCTCGAATTGTAGGATAAAGTATTATAATGGTTGTCTGTTTCACACGGTTCAAAAGGATTTCACCGCACAGACGGGTGATCCTACTGGAACAGGATCTGGTGGAGATTCAGTGTACAAGTATGTTACTAACTTATTAGCACTAACGTCTAGGCTTCATACCACATTCAAGCCACAGCTGATATTTTCACTTCAATTTTTTTCTTTCTAATTTGTAGAAATAGATTAGTTACATTATAACATAAAAGTGTCCTGTATATATGCCACTTTGTATGCACTCTTATTGCATATACTATGTGGTTCCAGATTTTTGTATGGTGAACAGGCTAGATTCTTTGGTGATGAGATTCATTTGGATTTGAAGCATTCCAAGAAGGGAACACTTGCCATGGCTAGTGCTGGGGAGAATCTTAATGCTTCTCAGGTACTGCTGCATATACAACCAAGCATTCCAGCCCAGCTGGTTGTGAGGTTACCGTGCCTAGTGGGAGGTCTCAAGTTCGAATCCCGCTAGACACATAAGGGTTTGAAACTCAATGGAGTAAGTTTCAGCCCTGATTACTCCAGCCCCCCAGCCCCCCTCCCCCAGACGCCCCCTGGAGTAAAAAAAGAAGTACGGCTGCATATACTCTGGAGTCTTCGATGGTCTAGGCAGCATTCTGAGGCTTATTCTTTATGTTGTTTTAGATATCCTTCAAGCCAATGATGAGTGATGACTATGGTTTTCATCTGAAGCTTCCAAACCGCCAAACACACATATTTCTTAGAGACAATTGTTCTGTATATCTTTGTTTATGTTTGATTTCATTGTTTTCCAGTTCTATGTCACCCTTCGTGATGACCTGGACTATCTTGATGGGAAGCATACTGTGAGTTCTCATAAAATTTGCTCAATTCAGAGCATTTTGTCCCTCTCTTTGATTTGATCTCTACCTCTCTCACTCTCCCACACACACAAAGTATGTATGCTTGCATGCCATGCCTTATTGTCTGGCTTCACAGTTTTTGGACTATTCTTTTCAAACAGATAATGTGTACATTAATCACTTCTGTTTGTCTGTCAATTGGTAGATGTATAATACAAATGAAAATGCATTCTCAACCTGGCAGGTTTTTGGAGAGTTGGCAGAAGGAATTGATACACTAGACAGGATAAATGAAGCTTTTGTAGATGAGAAGGGTCGTCCATTCAAAAACATCCGGTCAGTAGTCACTGCACTCAAATTATTTTGTTATCTTTTTCCTCCTAGATGTGTTCTTTCCTCTTGCTGAATGCTGATGAATCTCCTCTTTCAGAGTCAAACACACTTACGTACTGGATGACCCTTTTGATGATCCACCCCAACTAGATGAGTTGATTCCAGTTGCTTCTCCAGAAGGGAAACCAAAAGGCGAGGTAACAATTGTATATATCCACATTTTTTCAAATCACACATAGCTACCTGCTCTCTGTTCTTATTTCTCAGACTATTGGTATCTGTATCATTGTGGTCAAAGAGAAATGGAATTGCTTCATTGCTACAACAAGTTCTTATTCTTTTTTATACTACGTATTAATTCTATTTTCACTGTTAACCTGTCATGCATTAATGTTTTGGTTCTGAACTGAGCTTAGTGGTAGGCCTGATTAATCCTTTGTGGTTCATACACAAAGGAACAGATCTTACAAACTTCATATTACATGTGCCTCATAAAATGCATTTCTACACAAATGAACTGATTAATATTTTTCTAAATCTACTTAGGTTGATGATGATGTGCGTCTGGAGGATGACTGGGTGCCTATGGACGAGCAAATAGGAACCCAAGAACTTGAGGAGGTTCTGCGTGCAAAGGAAGCTCATTCCCATGCAGTTGTGCTTGAAAGTGTAAGAGTTCCCTGTGCCATTAAAAGTAATTTAAAATGAGTTTGAATACTCTTATGAAAATGGTAATTTATTCTATTATCTTGCAATTACAGATAGGGGATATTCCTGATGCTGAGATAAAGCCCCCTGATAACGTGCTCTTTGTTTGTAAATTAAACCCAGTAACAGAAGTAAGTTTTTACTAAATTTTTGTTCTGTATATGCTCCACAGAAGTTCTTATATATTCATTTGACCAAATGTACTGCATCATATACACTTGCAGGACGAAGACCTGTATACTCTCTTCTCACGTTTTGGAACTGTGACATCGTAAGTTCTTATTTAGTGCTGCTCAGACCTGCCCCTCTCACCCCCACTAAACCCCCTATTCATCATAGGGGGGTATGTTGCTCCATTCAGTTAAAACACATATATAATCATTGATCAATATCTTTAGTGCTGAAATAATACGGGATTACAAGAGCGGAGATAGCTTGGGTTATGCTTTCATTGGTGAGTTTCTCTTCATAAGTGATTATTGTAGTTTTGTTATGTAACACTATTTTGGAGGATTCTTAAGAACTAGTGTTCCTTTTAACTTTTATACATATTTACTGATTCTTTTGTTGTTTTGCTAGAGTTTGAGGACAAAGAAGCTTGTGAGATGGCATATTTTAAGGTAATATACAAATTTGTACTAATGTCTTCTTAATTTTTACATTGAATATTTGAATGATAAGTGTTGATAACTACCATGTCAAACGTCTCATATACTATTTTTGCTTGATTAGTAAATACTGTTTTCATCTTGGTGTTGTACTTGCATCCCTTGCATGCTTATTTCTTGATAACAAATTTACAATTTAACTTAACATTCTTCATTCAATGGCCACATGATATACGGACTGCATGCAACTCAAAAATAGTAGGATTCTTTTTTGAAGTGTTTGATACCTAATCATGGTACTCAGTGCTGCTTGAACTGAATCAAACACTCAAACAGTATTATATGATATGATTTTTTCTCTTTTGAATTGCTTAAAATCTCACGGAACTGTGGAAGATGGTAAATTGGAGTCCTTTTGCCACAATTAGTCTACAAGTTTATTTTTTTTTCTTTACTTTGAAAGTTTTTCTTTCACCCTCTTTATCTTATCATTTTTATTTGTATCTTATATTTATCTTTATCTTTATCTTATTCTTTTTATCTTATGTTATCTTTTTATCTCTCTTATCTTTCTTTTGTTTTTGGCTTCAATATTGTGTACTGAATCATGTTAGCCGACCCCAAAATCTTTTAGGACTAAGGCTTGGATGTTGTTGTTGTAGTCTGAAAGTTTTTATTGAAACAATATAATCTATCTTCTATTCTTCTCATCACATCCTTTCTAAGTAATGAGCAAGTTTACTTGGGATGTTTTTACTTGGACTGTTTTCAGTCCCAACACAGTTCAGATCAGACCAAGACTAGGATAATTATAAAATACAAAAAGACCAGACGTTTATCAGATTAGACCAGATGTTTACCAGATTAGACCAGACCGGACCAACAATTTTCAGTTCAAGTAAAAACATCCTTGGTGGGAGAGCCATGATTTCGATAAAACTAACACCTTGCTTCATACTGATAGATGGATAATGCTCTAATTGATGACCGAAGGATTCATGTCGATTTCAGTCAAAGTGTTTCAAAATTGTGGTCAAGCTACAGACGCAAGGATCAAATGAGTAAAGGTCTTCTAATTTTTCCATCATTTCTCTCTTTTTGGCATCGATATCATGGATCGATTTGACCCCAAATTATTTTGGGATTAAGGCTTGGATGTTGTTGTTGTTGTATTGGAATGGATTTTTTGTTTACTCTTCTAATGGTGTTCAGGATTATCAAGTGCAGTCTCATATTTATTATGTGAAAAATAGAAAACCAAAGGAACTTTTGCATAATATTTCGTTTATAGCAAGTTAGCAACAAATAGGAACAAAAGGAGCTAAAGTATGGTTCATACAATAGAATTTGAATCCAGCCAATTTGATGTATGTGAGAACAAGAACAATCTAGATCAAAGCAAAACCAACTATGTAACGCACAAGAAGCACTCATTGAGAAGTGGTTGTAGCATTTGCATAGCAGAGGCAGCAAACCGGAAAAATGTAGTAATATGAGATATATATGTCATTATTTTGTTGTATAAACCAGCGCAATGAAAAGCAATTTGTTTTTTTCCCTTTTGGCCCACCTTTTGGGGTGTTACTAACATTTGTTTGTCTAAGCAGGAAGTATTTGCTTTAAGTGTGGTTCTGTGGATCACATAGCTAAAGACTGCTCAGCAAAACAAAATAATCCAAAATACACACTTAAAGAAGCTAATAGGCAGCATGGTGGAGATGATAATTCCAGGTGAGACAAAATGCGTGTTCCAAAATTTTCATCCCTTCACCCCGTACGGCAGTACACCCCCCATTTCCTAACAATTACATCTACTATACATCTCTTCAAGGTTCGAAATGGTATTTGATGAAGATGCTGCTGCTGGTAGTCCAAGGGGAAATAAAAGGCAAAGAGATCGTGGAGCTGAAGAAGGTTATCAAAAACAGAATGTTAAACATAGGGGTTCAGATGATGTCTTGGACCGAGATGAAGGAAAGAGAAACCTACATGATCGCCATGGACATCATCATGGTCATACAAGTAAGGAAACTAGAGAAGATAGGCATAGAGGAAGTAGGGCAAACTCATCTCGTGGTGATGAAAAGGAGATATCTTATACAGAGCACAAGTATACAGGACGTAGGGCAAGCCCATCATCACATGGTGTAAGGGATAGCAGAGATCATAGGGCAAGAAATGATTCTGATGATAGAAGGAAAGATAATAATAGCCACAAGGATAGGAGGAGGGCAGATGGAGGTGTGCAACATAGAGACAGGGCAGATGAGAGAGAGTATGAGAAGAGAGACAGGAGAAGAGAGGAAGAGTACAACAGAAGACGTGGGGATGATCATGATGATAGGCGGGGTAAACAAGAGACTGAAAATAAGGGTAGGCAAGATGATGATGATGAGGGCAGGCATGCAAGTGGAGCTAGCCATAGGGACAAGAGGGGTAAGAAAGAGTTTGAAGAGAGACACGGTGATTGTTTGGCAGGACGGAAAGGAAGAGCAGATGAGCATATTCGTGATAGAAAGAGTAGTAGACGACCATGAGTTGACTAATATGTCATGCTAGTTTGAACAATGAGAACATGGCATTAAGTATAAGAAAACTCGGCAAGCTATATATTGTAAAACCAATTTTATTACCACAAAATTTCTGAATGTTTGTCGATTGAGGGCACCCCAACAACTTTTTTGCTGAAATGGGTTGATTTTGGATACTTATTCTGAAGATCAGATGACATTACACGGGAACATTTTCATATGAAATTGTTGCCTTAGCGAAATATAAAAAAGTAGAGTAATAGAAAATGAGACTTGTACTACCGAACTGCCGGTTCAAGGTTCCAAATTTTAGGGAACTAGAACCGGAACTGCATAGTACCGGTTCCAAACCGGTTTGGTTTTGGTTCGGTTTCTGGTTCCACTTTTTATTTTTTTATTTTTTAAATATTAAAAGTTTAGTATTTTTAGATAAAGTAATAAAAGAGTTACCAAAAAATTACAAGAATAAATATCTCTCATTGTTAAAATTAAGTACAAATATAAGATAGTTAATACCTACATAGCTATAAACTAGATTGTAAAATCCTTTAATCTATTATTCAAAAATGAGTTAATTATTAATAAATAACTTATACTTATTACTAATAATTCTAATAAAATATAGATCAACTAGTATAGTAATACCTAAGGAGTAGTAACTTGTAACTCTTATAATGCTATTTCTATTATTTCTATTATTAATACAATTAATATTAATAATATTATCATTTTAGCATTATTAATATTATTGATAATAATATAATTAAATAAATAATTCAAAAAAGAGGGTCTGAACCTGAACCGTTCCGTTTCGAATCGGAACCACCGCCGGTTCCGGTTCCACATTTTTGGGAAAACCAAACCGGTCTAGTAAACCTTCGGTTCCGAACCGAAGTACTAGGCAGTTCCGGTTAAGGTTCTCATTCCGCTTCAAAAACCGGCAATTCTGGTTCCGGTTTTGGTTTAGCCGGAAACCACGGATAGATCTATATTGGGAGACTTTTGAGGAGGGGGGAAATTGAAAAGTGGGAGAGGGGAGCTCATAGTCTGTACTGCACCCCCAGACAACTCTTTGACCCTCTAAATAAGCCTCTACAAAGAAAGAAAATGGGGCAACCTGTTTATAAATTAGGACGTTTTTTTTTGTTTTTGGAAAGTGTATCTCCACATGATCAAGAACAATGTTGAACATCATGGTTATATAAAATCGTGAAAAGAAATTAAGCGGATATCATTGATATATTTATATGTGTTATTGTGTTTATCTATCTCATGGTAAATGTGGACCATAAACATTTTTGCATTGAAGAACATCATGATTGTCTCGCACCATTTTTTATGAATCTAACACTTCGCTACGTTTTACATTGTTGGAAATGGACAAAAATTATACTACGGTCAAAATTGAAATCGAGCGGTTCAAATAATGTACTCCATATTATTTCTTTTCTTTTTATTTTATTAAATGAAGAATTAAAAAAACGGTTTAACCAAGTTTCATTTTTTTTATATTGAAATATGCATTTTTTATTTATTCAGAAAATAAAGTTAAAGAAAAACATTGCTTATAATAATTGTAGTGATTTATAACCTCAGTAACTATAGATTGAATTTTATTTATGGAACTGGAATATAAAGAAAAATGTAGAGACTCAGTCGATTCAATGATGTTTTTATGTAATTTGAAAAAATGATTATGAAAAAAAAAGTTGGCGATGTTGTAATGAAAGTATTACTTCTATCCTATTCATTGTGTCCTTTTAATATGGTATAATTATTAATAAAATAGTTCAAAAAATAAAAATTGTGGATAAGATTTCAGTATAATAAAGTGAAATGTTGTAACAACATATATTTTTTCAAAAAAAGAAATGTGATACTTATTTTGGAACAACTCAAAAAAAAAAGAGCAAGACTTAAAATGGAATGAAATGGGTAATTTTTATATATGTAACAGAAAAGTGAAAAGTTATTAAAAACATCAATTTCAAATTTCTTAAACCAAAGATAGAAAATCATTTTTTTTTTAAATTCATGCAAACAATCCCTAATAGTCTTACTAGCTATCTTAGGAATGTCTATCTATTATATATTCTGTACACACGCGCACACACATAAAGGGAGCAGTTCCGCTGAGAAAGGTGTCCCAGTAGAGAAATGAGAATAAAATCTAGCCATATAATTATATGTGAAATCAAAGGTTAAAATTTAATTTAAATTAATTGTGGTAGCTTAGTACGTAATTAAGTGGAACTTTGGATAGCAGTTACACTCATGGATCACACGTTTTTGTTCTAATGTCAAATGTGTAAAACTCAGTTCCATTTATTTTGACTAATAAAGCCCCGTATGCAAGTTTTCTTATATTTATAATTATTACTAGATAAGTGCGCGAATGTAATATATATGCCCAATTTGAACTTGCTTTGAATTTTGTCTATGCTTCATAATGTAAACAAACATTGTTTGAATATATTGATAATAAAGATGATGCATTGTTCCAGATACACAATTCTTATTTAATTTAATAAGAAGTAGATGTTTTATTTTATATTTTTTACATTTTCATTTTCTTTTTATGCTTTTTGGGTTTTTATGTTTTAATTTAACGTTTTTAAATTATTTATCTATTTTTACATTTATACTATTTTTAAAATTATTTTTACATTTTTCAAATTTATATGAATTTTATAAGATTTATCAATAAGCCTACTTTTAAAAGTAACCTGCTATAGTAGGTCAGATAGACTTGATTGATTGTGTTTTAAAAGTAAATTTACTTTTACGATACTTTTTTTTAGTAAAACGACTTAAGTGAAGGATTGGAAATTGTAGAAGAATCTATTTGAAAAATTTCCCTAATATGGAGTAGTAGGTAGAATAAATATTAGAGGAGGGGAGCACTACATTTAAAAAATACCACCTCCGTCCCTTAAAACTTTGCCAAAATTGACCGACACGGAGAATAATAAAGTAAAACCTGTGTGGTTGAGATTTGTGCAGAGGCTAAAGAAATAACAGAATCCACAAAATAATTGATTAAAAGGGAAGTTCCAAGAAGGAAAGATTACAAAGTTTTAAGGGACGGAGAGAGTAAGGAAAACTATCAAATCAATCATCTACTATTTCAGAAAAATCAATTGAGTCCACATACTATTTTGTTAATCAATTAAGTTTATCAAGTCTTAATTTTTCACCAATTAGGCCATTTGACTAGTAACTAACCAGTATCCCTTCTCTAAAACTGAGGTGGATGACACTTAATTATACAAAATATACTCTTTTTTTAGGGTTTTTCCATTTTTTATTTCAATTTTCTTCCTTTTATTCTCCCTTCCCCATTTCCGTCTCTGCAACTCCCTTCCCCCATTTCCGTCTTCCTTCCCCACTTCATGCTTCATTCCATTTTTTTCTTTTTCCCCTTCATCTCTCTGCAACTCCTCCCCTCTTCTTCTTCCCTACTTCTTCTACTCCACAGCCCAACCCAACCTCCCCCTCCCTTCATTCTTTCCCAGTAGTTCACCCCCAACTTCTTTCCCCTTCCCCCCCCCCCCCTTCTTTCTCTTCTTCTCCACTCTACTTCTTCTACATTACCCAACCTTCTACCCCCCTCTTTCATGGCTAGAAAAGAAGAATATGGCAACCCGCGGGCAACCCGCGGGCAACCCTTGCTCTTCTTCAATGGAAACCAGACGGCAGCATCAGAGCTCGACGACGGCAGCATCAGAGCTCGACTGAGATGGTAAAGACAGAGGTGGACGGTGATAGAAAGATGGAAAGCTAGAGGGGGAGAAGGAAGAAAGAGGAGAAGAGAATTAAGAGAAAAGAGAAGAGAAATAAGAAGGGGATGAGTTGCAGGAATTGAAGAAGGAAGAAGAAGAAAGAATAAAAAAAAACAGATAATCTAATGCCACATTGACGCCAAATAAGTGTCGACAAGGAAAAAAAGCCACGTGGAAGATCCACGGAGGCTGATTAACAGGGAAACCGGTCCATTACCAAAAGGCAAATTTGATTAACAGGCTGATTTGACAGTTTCCCTAAAAACTAAGCATGACATGAGGAGAAAACGTATGAAAGTGCAGAATAAATATAGACAAAATGAGTATTAATACGGCGAACAAAATAGTAAAATGTATCTATCAAAATCAAAGAGATGAATTGTCTACCTTATTTACACATGCACAAAAGGGACATATGCATAAATATCGCATATTCCACATAATTTGAAGCTATCAAAAATTAAGTGGATATCATATATATTTTACACATGCACAAAAGAGACAATGCACAAAAGGGACACATGCACAAAAAATGAGTTCACAAATTTTAGTTTTTAAGCTATCAAAAATAATGAGGATCATTCAAAGATTAAGCGGAAATAAATCTGTACGAAAAGTAAAAAATGATATGTGTGTTAGCTAAAAACTGTATGTGAAGGCAGTTACAATGAGATAACTTGACATATTCACTATTATCAAACTCATAGTGTGCATTATATTTCGTTTCATATGACTTGTTCAGACCAATTAATTATACTCCCTCCGTCCCGAAAAGGTTGGACATATTTCGTTTTTTTGATGTCCCAAAAAGATTTGCCATTTCTATTTAAAGTAAGGAATATGTGGCTAAAATTAATTCTTTCTCCTCTGCACAAATTTCAACCACACATTTTTTACTTTATTAATCCACATTAAAGTTAACTTTGACCAATCTTTTCGGGACAGAGGGAGTAATCGAGATAACATTAATGAGCTTGGGAATATTACATTAGCTAATCAGCTAAATTTATGCTCTGTCAAAGTTTACATTTGTAAAATACAAGCACCGCAAAAATTTTAATGGCAGGGAAATAGCCTTCGACCAAAAAATATTTAAAATGCAATCCAACTTATTAACCAATGGAAAGAACCCTCTGAAGAAGGTTGAAATAGTTTCAAATACATCATGTGATATGTCTTCTCGTAGAGATAATGTCTCAAATCTTAGTGCAAATACTACCGCCCTTAATTCTAGATCATGGGTAGGGTAGTTCATCTTTTGTTTTCTCAATTGCCTTGAGGTGTAGGCAATTACTTTACCGGTTTGCATCAACACACATCCAAGCGCTTGGATATCAGCGTCACTATAGCTGTTATCCCTTGTTTAGGTAGGGTAAGTACTCGTGACTAATTAAGTGGTTTCTTTAGTTCAGGAAACCCCTTCTCGCCTTTGGGGTGTTTGGATCTGATTCTTAAAATTGCTTCTGCTATTTCACGGAGTAGAAACAAAAGTTTGAGTGTTTGACTGAAAGTGCAGAAGTAATTCTGATGCTCTAATTTACTCCTATAATCAATTCTTTAGAAGCACGAGGTGATCATCTTCTGAAAACTCGGGCTTATGAGTTCCAAAAAACCTTGTCTTTTTGTTTCTTTTCGGGGTAAGGGTCAGTTTGGTTACGGAAGTTGCATAAAAGGGGTCAAATAAGTCCTTATGACGTCCTTATTGTCCGGTCGTCACCATTCGGGGCAGTTCCCGGTGAAATTTTTTAATGAATCTTTTTTGAGAATCTTATTCATTAAGTCTAGTTTACTCATACCAAGTTTTTCAAATGAAGTCTTGAAGATAACTGCGCTTTTAACTGCGCAGTTATCTTCGAGACTTCATTTGAATGCCTTCCCGATGAAAGTTTTATCTGAAATTTTGTATGAGTAAACTAGACTTAATGAATAAGTCAAAACATTTTGTCAAAAAATTCCATCAGGAACCGCCCTAAATGGCGACGGTACTTATTTAACCCTTTTATGCAACTTCAAACATGAAACTGAGCCCTACCTAGTTTCTCTTCTTTCTAACTCATTTCTTTCCACAGAAAAAGTGTACGAGTTCCGTGAAAAAATTTCAAGGTTGAAATTCTTGAATACACTACTTCCCCTTTCTCTCTCATTTTCTGTACCCAATTCTTTGCATTCAGAGTAGGGGTGACAGCGGGTCGGATTTATACCGGGTGAAAGCTCATCCGTCGTCCACCCGTTCATTTTTTATAGTCCACCCACCCGTTCATCATCCATTAAAATTTACATCCACAACCAACCCATCCATCATGAACGGGTTATCGGGTGGATCGGGTGAGTAACGGGTGAGTACAAAAGGTCAAACTTGAAAGACAAAATAAATAAATTATAAAGAGAAATCATGACAAAAATTAAGAATTCATTGAAAAATAACTACAAAAACTTGAGCAATTAAGTATATTACAACCATTAATTCACTGCCGATGATAAAGAAAGAACTAATTGTCAAACAAAATAGATAAAGAATTTCTTCAAGTTGTCAAATCTACATTTCTTCATCAACACAAAACTATTTTTGCAGTTCAACGGGATTAGGGCTGGGCTCCTATTTTAGTCGCTACAATGCTACTCCGTAGTTACGTAGTATCTGTTAATATATTAATTATTATTATTATTATTATTATTATTATTATTATTATATTAAGTAGATATTATAATATATGTGTATATATTTATATGCGGGTCAGTAGGTGCGGGTGGATGGAGCGGGCGACGGGTCGGGTGATGGGTTGGATGAGTGTTCATTCAATCCCGATCCAACCCGTCTTTCAATCCACCCATCATCCATTTTTCATCCATATTTCTTCGGGTTTTTGTCCATATTTTCGATTCGGGTTGACCGGGTATCCGCGGGCGCGGGTGATATTGCCAGCCCTAATTCAGAGTCTCCATTGGTCCTCAAATTCCCTCAATTCTTCGCCAATTTCAATCCCAAAATCACCCAGCGACTGTTTCAAAAGCCGTCTGTGGGTGCAGGGTATTCAAGAACACACATTCAAGCTTCTGGTTTATCCTTTTGTGTATACGTTCAAGTATTTTTATTTTTTCTGACGACGAGCATAGGAAAAGAATAAGAAACAACTTCAGCACAAAGAACTTCATCCAAGCTCCAGGTACTGTCATAATTTCCAAAACCAGTTCCGTTATTATTTAAATTTTATTGTGTCTGTCAGTTTGTGTGTATTCAGTTCCTCACATTTACTAGTCTAAAGAGTTCCTCTATTATCCCACCCCTCTAATATGGCCAAATAAGATAATTTTGTTTTACGATAATAGTTTGTATATATGAATTGGAATTTTGGCCATCCTGGATTGAATGTAGGGGTGTCTTGGTTCAACCCTTAATCTTTGTATATGATATAACTTTTGCTATATTAAAGTCTTTTATAACACCTGATTTTAGTTTAGCACTTCAGTTTGTCAGTGGGATTTTAAGCTCTGCATGCGTATGTGGTCGTAGGAGGTCAGGTGGTTTTAAAGGGAGTTGACTTGTGCTTAAAGTGATTAAATGACTTACTTTGCTGCCTCTTTTTGGGATAAATGTAACCCATTATGTTTTAAGATTTCGTCACAATAGATTTCATTGTTACTACTGCAGAAAGAGGACTCTCCTTGGTCAAATTATTTTTATTAAACCCAGGAAGCAATGAGGTCATCATCCTCAAAGCAAGGTTCTGATAACAACCGTAGTGTTAGAGGCCACTTGCTTACTCTTCATCAGCGCCTTCAACATGCTCTTGGTCTTGGATCTGGGTAATTCAAACTTTTATTATTATATTTAGATGTTCAATAAATTGCCCGTATAGCATTAAAATAATTTTCTTACAATTGACTATGCTGTTGTTGTTGTAGACTGTTGTCTTTTTGGCTTTTCACGCCATTTACCCTCAAGGCTTAGCTTTCTTGTTTCAAGAAATTGACTTTCTTGTTTTTTGAGGTCATTTAGTGGAAATTCATAGAATTGATCATTTACGTGTACATTTATAGCATGCAGCTAATATTTTCAGGGAGCTAGTGGATTTATCATAGGGAGTACTCTGTTACAGTGTTGGCAGGGGTTAAGTATAAACAAAGGATATTTAGAGGCTAAACTTGGAAAGGGCATCTTTAGTAATCAGGAGGCACATTTTTTCCTTGTTGGCGTTACTGTAAATCCCATCCCTTGTGGCCATGTGGGTATCAAGGTTGTTAGTGTAGGCTCAGCCTTTGGCTTCATATAATAGTTTATTGCGGGAGGACAAGTTAGAAGTTGTCTACAGGTAAATTGCAAAGGGGCGAAAGACAAGGATAAGAAAGAACATAATTTCAAATATTCCCTTGTCACATAATTAAGTTCCAACTTTCCTTTTTCAAATGTCCCACGTCAAGTTCCCATTTCTCTTTTTGGTAATATTTGAGTGGTAAAATACTCTTTTACCCCTATGAAAAGTACATCATTAATTATTAATTTTCTCTATCATGCTTTTTAGGAGGACATATTTGAGAAGTCAGTTAAAAAGGTTATTTTGCCTAGAAACCCATGAAGTAAAACTAGGAACTTAACTGTGGGACGGAGGGAGTACTTGCTTACCAACCCAAAAAAAGAAGCTATGCTATGTTAATAATTTAATATTGACATAACAGCTTTAACAAGTTTTGTGCTGGGCTGCTGGCCATACGTTAAACAGTTTACACTTGGAACAATGACCTGATATGTTTCTTTTTTCTGACCCCCAAAAAATTGCCCGTGCAGATATCATGAGGGCGCAGGGAGAAAGTGGAATTTTACAGACTTTGATAAGCAGAGGCTTGCAATCCGTTCCATTGATTCGTACCTTGATTTTTTATCTTCTGAGACGTTAAAACATCCCTTCGTGAAGGTATTCTTTTCAAAAAAAGGTGTCATATTTTAATTAATAACACTTTTATTTTATTTTTTTCATCTCATTCTTTGCTGTTTTTTATGCATACTACCATAATTAAGTGGTTGGGGATTAGTCATATATTTCTATTTGTTCAGTCACGGGCTATTGCGGTTCATTTTCTTTCCTCTAATCTAAGCTATTATGCAAATGATTGTATAAGAGGTGAAAATTTCAATCTTAAAATAATTCAAAATCTTTGCTAGATGCTTACACTTACTAATATGACACACCCTTTACCCATTATTTTTTCTTTCTCTTCCATCCTAGTAACTTCATCTGATTAGAATGCTAGTATTTTTGTCTTTGACAATTATCTTTTAATTTTTCTAATTTGTTTGAACTATGTTGCAGGATTCGATTCCAAACATGTTTGGTGCGTTGGGGAGTATTCTTGAATCAAAAAGTGAATCTGTTCTGATTTTGGCCTCAGCTGTTGCTGTAAAGATTGTCTGTGATTTGCCAAGTTTTATGGTGGTATCTCATGCAGCCGATCTTGTTTTACCATTGTCGTCCTTGTTGTTTTACCACCAGTCCCAGGTTTCTCTGTCATCTGCCACTGCCTTGAATGTCATTCTTTCAAATCTGAGTAGCAAAAGAGAAAACGAAGTTTGGGATATTTTTAAACAAAGGAACGTGATCGCTGAGATTCTCAAAATTCTAAAAGGATTTTCAACTGTTGAAATATCAAATGAGCGCTTTGAAAAGATGGCTTCTCTCTTGAGTAAAATACTGCAGAGGTGGCCACCTTCTAGGCTATATGTTTATACTGATACCAAGCTGCTGGATCTTTTGGACACTCTCACAGTCAGTCCCAAGGCCTCCATACAATCTTCTTTATTGCAGATCTATTCTGCTATAGGTATCAATGGTTCCTGTGATATTGCTTGCAGCTTCTTTATCTTAGCTCTATGTTCTGTATGTCATTTTCTCATGGCTTAAATTTTTTATATGTAATTGCAGCTTTATGCCGCAATGGAGCTATGAAGGTTTTAGAAAATGGGGACAGTCTTCTAAAAATGATGGTGGACAACATGGACATTTCAAAGCCTGAATCGATTCAAATGGAAGCATTTAATCTGGCTCAGTGTCTAATGGTGACAACATTTACCCACAAAAATTCTTGCCCTTTATCCCCGTATATAAGAAGCTTACCTTTTTCACTGATTGATTGATCATTTCTCAGATGAGTGAACAAGAATGCGCAACAGTTATTAAAATATGTGGTGAGCCGGTTGTGATAGCTATACTGGCTGGAATGGCCCGTATGAGGAAATTTTACCTGTCTATTAAGGAAAAAAAGAAACAAATGCCAATACTTGTGAAGACATGCAATTTAGCTCTAATAGCACGGTGGGCTGGGGAACATCATCACTACTTTTGGAAAGCTGGAATTTGTGAAGTCCTCCTGCGTCTATTCATGGACAATTTTAGCAAAGATTACCATTCTTTCCAGTCCTTGCCACTACGAGAGAAGATTGGCATAATACAATCAAATGAGGCTCTCGAGACAAATTTTTGTTTACCTTTAAGACCTTATGTTTGGGATATTCTTGGACATCTTGCAACAAATTGCGATGAAGGTTGCAATCCAGTGATGCATGGACATGAGGCGTGTCTAAAAACACTTGTACTCTGTGCATGGTAATTTCTACACCTATCCATTATCCCCTCCCCCCTCTTTCAATTGGCCTTAAGTTTTTATTTGGGAAGGGGATCTTCTTTCATAGTTTGGAATTTTGACAGAGGAGCTATATTACTTTTTCCTTCCTGTGTTAAATCTAAGTACATGAAGATTTTATCTTGATAACTGTACGCTGTGTTGAGTCACTTCATTATACTATGTATTTTTGACAGCTTAGGCTTTGTGGACTCAATGAGTGTGACATATCAGACTAGTGAAGATAGTTGCGCACATGAACCAGTGTCTAGAGCAGTTCTTATGATGGTATTTTCTCCTTGGAAATATCTTGCAAAACAAACGCGATATATTTTATCTGAAGTTCTTGCATCAAATTTAAAGCATAATGTCAACCATCTATTGAATATTTTAAGAACCAGATCTTCTGGTAATGAGGTTGTAATGCCTTCAAATCTTCAAGTTCTGATAAGCTTGACGAGCTTGACATGTTATTCTGGTCTAAAAGGGTATAAGAAGCATATCATTAAAGATAAAGGAATAAAGGCTTTGTTAAATTTCATAAGCTGGTGGGTATTCAATCCACTACATGTGAAAAGATCACATCTATCTCCACATACACATGATCCTTTTCGGGTGAGAGCCTGTTGCTGGGGTCATTCTGCTGAGTGGGAAGGAGAAGAAATGCTTTTACTTTTGGGTCTTTGGTGTCTTGCCGAGTTAGTAGGGCAGTCTGGATCATATGTTGCTCTACCCAAGTATCTGAAGGGTGCCAATGGAGCTCAATTCGTAGAGGAACTTCAACACATATGTTCCAAAAGTTCATCTCCTGGTTCAAGAATGTATGCTGCCTACATTCTTCGGCGTTTTGGGTTATGGGGATTCCCAAATAAATTTGGACAAAGGATTCGGAAAGCATTTGATAATAAGGACCTTATGCCTGATTTGGAACTCACTCATTGGTGTCACAGCTCTTTTCATGTTCATGGTGTTATTCTTTCAGTCAGGTGCCCGTCGTTGTTGCCATCCAAACAACCCGCCACAGAGAAACCTCATTTTGGCTCTTTTTCAAAGTGGGATGTCGAGACATGTGAGAGGTCAATGAAGAAAGTTCGGCTCTCTGCCCATGCTGATCACCAGATATTAACAAAGTTATTAGAATATGTGTATTCTGGGTATTTTCAATCTGGTAAAGACCTTTTTAAGAACCTGAAATCATATGCCAATTATTGCAATCTAGATCCTCTACAGAAAATGCTTGATGGTATTAGACCAAAATGGGGCGATACTCTGCCAAAGTTTGATCTTACTTGTGCTCTTGGGCGAGATGGATATGAATTCTCGTATGGCTTTGTACCTTTGTATTTTTTACGCTTTTGGTCTGAGATGTTAAAACCATTATAATTGATTTAAATATCTGCTTCTTGTGGATAAGAGGCTCATTGCGAATCACGTCTGGTCTCTATGTAATTGCATTCATATTTTCTATAAATTGTTTGCAAATCTACATACTCTAGATTTTAGAAAAACTGCACAAATTGCATCAGGTGTATTATAAAAAAATGATTTTATTTACTAGGTCCTCTTTTTTATAAAAGAGAATTCCAGAAAGGGGGGACAAGTGCAAGGGAAATGAAGAACTGAGGGGGATTGCGCTCGTAATGAGAGTCAAACCCAAGACCATAGACCGAATCATGATTTCCATTACCTACCGGACAACTCCATGCTCTTGTCCAATTTAGAAGGCAATTTCAAGTGTGAAAAATTTGATTATACTATTAGCGATAAACTGCAATTAGTGGGGCTAAATAAAATTATTGACGTAAGATGACTAGGTTACACATCTGACAGAATGAGGCATTAGATTTCTGATGTGAAATAAAATTGGAATTTGTTTTGAGTATCAAGTTACTAATTTTAATACTCCGTATTACTTATTTCACTCTTTTTCTTGTTCAGGGATATAATCTTGGAAGCGAATGCACCCAGCCTGACTGGATGGAGATGCAATGTTTGCTGCTCATTGGCTCCACACTATCATCTTCACAAAGTTATACTTCGTTCAAGCTGCAATTACTTTCATTCACTATTCAGATCAGGAATGCAAGAAAGGTACAACTCCTTATGGTCACTTGCACGACTAATATAGTGAATGCTTACTAATAAAATAACAAAGGACTATAAAGTCAAACCTGCACTTTAAAGTCTTTATTATAAGTCATAGTCAACTAAACTTGACACAAACCGATGAATGCTGTTGATATTTCTTTGTGAATTAGTATGCATCTTAAATGAATTATGTATATACATGTGTGTGTATGTACCTATGTATGTATATATCATAGTTGTTACGGTGCCATGCATGCAAGCATGCAAGTAATATAATATTATACGTAGTATAATTCTACCTCCGTCCTGGTTTAAGGTTCCCATTAAAAGATGGCACAATTTTTAGACAAAAATTAAATAAGGCAACATCAATATATTGTGAGAACACTGAGAAGTAATTTTGGTGGGTATATAATATAATGAGGTCATTAATGATAATTGTGATGTTATAACTTATAAGTATATTAATTTTAATATTTGATGATTAAGTTATCATTTAAATTGCTAATTATTTCCTAAAAATAGGAATGAGAACTTTTAGTTGGGACATCCAAAAGAGGCAAACAAGAACCTGTGGTTGGGGAGGAGGGAGTATAAACAAGGGTACGATATTTGAGAATCTATGAAAAAAACACTAAAATAAAATAATGAACTAAAATAGGACTTTGTAGTGTTGTACTATAGTGGCATATTTGGCTGTGTAGTGACCACGACTACATTTAATTTTACTATACAATGATTACGGTGATTGACTGACTGTAGAGAACATGTAGTCATGCTTTTGTCAATTAGTGTTATGTTGGCAATATTATGGAAACCCCCAATATATTTATGAAGGCAAAACAATGTGAATAACATGCGGAGAAAGATATCTTATTTATGATCACCAATTCTGTGTTTGTTGCACAGCTATTTACAGACATTGAAGGTGTCAATGAGCTGGGAATCACTAGTGAAGTTAGTGAACTGGTTCTATTCTGGTGAATTAACTAGGCCCATTTCGGGATGCCTATGGGATAGTTTGGACGTCGAGAAGAAGCTAAAAGAAGTTAGGCCATATGTTGAGCTATATTGGCTCGCAGATTACTGGCTAATAGATGGTGACTTGCGCGAGGATTGCTTTAGCGTGGTTGTTTCCAGCTTGGATTCATGCCGGGAATTGTCAATCAAAATAATGCAATTTGCGGCAGATCTCTCTGAGTGGAAGCTAGTTAAAGTTGCCGTTGAGTATGCTGCTCCTTCGTATCATCTCATGCGCAGTTCTAGCGAGCTAGATGCATTGGATGGTGAGCTTGTTGAAATGATCCGAGCTGCCTCTGTCCGACTTTTTCAAGAAAAGTCATAATATTGATGCTATGCCTTTTTTTATTAGATTGGATGATAGATAGGAAAAGCATTTTGACACACTTGTACAACTAAACCATACTGTAGATATGGAATAGGAAATTTTATTCAGTTTTGTTCAGTGATGAGTGTGTGAGAGCAGGTGGTATATAACACAGTTACAATAATGGATATAGAGAGAGATAATGAAATAATATCGATTGAATTGACATTTTATCCTTCTACTTTGACTAGCTTCCACTCAAAATATCTTTGAGCCAGTAATCGACTAGCCAATATAGCTCAATATATGACCTAACCTCTCCGAGCTTCCAACTCATGTAAATGTAAATGGCTCCACCCAACATAGACAAAAGTTTCTATGTGAATGACCTAACCTCTTTCAATTTCTAGGACTAGTAAAAGGATGACATCTATGGATAATCAATGGTCATTTGTAATAAGATAACTTTCTCCACATTTTGTTTTTCCCTGATGAATATATTGTTTTTTACCATGATATTACCAACATAAAACTAATTGACAAAAGTCTGACTACATGTTCATCACTCTTACTAACAATACTATTATAGTCACTAGTAAACTCACCCGTGCGATGCACGGTCTACGAATTTTTCTTTCAAATTTATTTGTGTTCACTAATTCAAATTACATTATCAATTGATGACAGCAACTATCTCCATGGAATACTGATATAGATCAAAGCAATGAATGAAACACACTTATAATATTATGGTTAAAAAGAGAGCATTAAGCATTACCTAAAAGACAAAAAACATCCAACAAATACGTAGAAAACATAACATTGTAAATAGGGAAAATAGAAATTAATAATCCAACATTTTAGCGATCTTCTTACAATAATCCCTACTTTTGATTATACAGGAATAATCCAACCTTTGTACCTCATCTTCATTCAATAATCCCTGACCGGTTAATGACCTGCTATTTCAAGTTATTTTCTTATCTTTGCCGAATATTATGTGACCATAAGGTGAGATTTATGGTATAATATATTGCAAAGATAAGGTCACCTCATGGTCACATAATGTTTAGCAAAGATAAGAAAATAACTTGGAATAGCAGGTCATCTACCGGTCAGGGACCATTGAATGAAGATGAGGTGCAAAGGTTGGATTATTCATGAATAATCAAAAGGTGGGACTATTGTAAGAAAACCGCTAAAAGTTTGGATTTTTAGTTTCCATTTTCCCTTGTAAATATGCATTTCATGTAAAACCTAAACATTGTTGAACACTTCTGTGAATACAACATTCTGAGTCTTGTCAGTAGTTCCTTCATCTTCATCAACAATTAAAATTTTCAAACCACAACGATTGGTAACCCTTGATACTGCAACATATAATTGTCTATGTGTAAATACTGATTTTTTCAATAACAATCCAACACGGGACAAAGTTTGACCTTGATCGAGTAAATAATGGAATTGATTATCGAGTAGCACGCACTAACTGCTCTGTTGTGGGAGTGCGCAGCAAAGGGCAATAACTGTTATGTTGTTTTCCCGTGCGCAGGAAAGGTCTCATAATTAGTGCGTGTATCACTATCATATGTTAACGCATGGGATACAACGTCCATTGATGATAGTGATGTGGATGATGAGTACGGGGATTATGATACCTTTCATGCGCACTCCCACAACAGAGCAGTTAGTGCGTGCTACTCGATAATCAATTCCATTATCCACTCGATCAAGGTCAATCTTTGTCCCGTGTTGGATTGTTGTTGAAAAAACCAGTATTTACACATAGACAATTATATGTTGCAGTATCAAGGGTTACCAATCGTTGTGGTTTGAAAATTTTAATTGTTGATGAAGATGAAAGAACCACTGACAAGACTCAGAATGTTGTATTCAAAGAAGTGTTCAACAATGTTTAGGTTTACATGAAATGCATATTTACAATGTTATGTTTTCTACGTATTTGTTGGATGTTTTTTGTCTTTTAAGTAATGGTTAGTGCTCTCTTTTTAACCATAATATTATAAGTGTGTTTCATTCATTGCTTTGATCTATTTAAGTATTCCATGGAGATAGTTGCTGTCATCAATTGATAATGTAATTTGAATTGGTGAACACAAATAAATTTGAAAGAAAAATTCATAGACCGTGCATCGCACGGGTGAGTTTACTAGTGACTATAATAGTTTTGTTAGTAAGAGTGATGAACATGTAGTTAGACTTTTGTCAATTAGTTTTATGTTGGTAATATCATGGTAAAAAAACAATATATTCATCAGGGGAAAACAAAATGTGGAGAAAATTATCTTATTAATAATGACCATTGATTCTCCATAGATGTCATCCTTTTACTAGTCCTAAAAACTGAAAGAGGTTAGGTCATTCACATAGAAACTTTTGTCTATGTTGGGTGGAGCCATTTACATTTACATGAGTTGGAAGCTCGAAGAGGTTAAGTCATATATTGAGCTATATTGGCTAGTCTGGCTCAAAGATATCTTTGAGTGGAAGCTACTCAAAGTAGAAGGAAAAAATGTCAATTCAATCGATATTATTTCATTATCTCTCTCTATATTCATTATTGTAACTGTGTTATATACCACCTGCTCTCACACACTCATCACTGAACAAAATTTCCTATTCCATATCTACAGTATGGTTTAGCTGTACAAGTGTGTCAAAATGCTTTTCCTATCTATCATCCAATCTAATAAAAAAAGGCATAACAACAATATTATGACTTTTCTTTAAAAAGTCGAATAGAGGCAGCTCGGATCATTTCAACAAGCTCACCATCCAATGCATCTAGCTCGCCAGAACTGCACATGAGATGATACGAAGGAGCAGCATACTCAACGACAACTTTAACTAGCTTCCACTCAGAGAGATCTGCCGCAAATTGCATTATTTTGATTGACAATTCCCGGCATGAATCCAAGCTAGAAACAACCACGCTAAAGCAATCCTCGCGCAAGTCACCATCTATTAGCCAGTAATCTACGAGCTAATATAGCTCAACATATGACCTAACTTCTTCTAGCTTCTTCTCGACGTCCAAACTATCCCATAGGCATCCCGAAATGGGCCTAGTTAATTCACCAGAATAGAACCAGTTCACTAACTTCACTAGTGATTCCCAGCTCATAGACACCTTCAATGTCTGTAAATAGCTGTGCAACAAACACAGAATTGGTGATAATAAATAAGATATCTTTCTCCCCATGTTATTCACATTGTTTTGCCCTCATAAATATATTGGGGGTTTCCATAATATTGCCAACATAACACTAATTGACAAAAGCATGACTACATGCTCTCTACAGTCAGTCAGTCACCGTAGTCATTGTATAGTAAAATTAAATGTAGTCGTGGTCACTACACAACCAAATATGCCACTATAATACAACACTACAAAAGTTCTATTTTGGTTCATTATTTTATTTGTGTTTCTTTCATAGATTCTCAAATATCGTACCCTTGTTTATACTCCCTCCTCCCCAACCACAGGTTTTCGTTTGCCTCTTTTGGATGTCTCAACTAAAATTTCTCATTCCTATTTTTAGGAAATACTCCCTCCGTCCCCTTTTAAATGTCCCATTTTATCATATTGGGATGTCCCTATTTAATTGTCCCATACCTTATTTGGTAAAGTTTGTGTGGCTCAAAATCGTTCTTACTTTATTCTTACTTTATTCTTACTTTATCTATTAATATCAACCACACAAACCTACTTTTCTTAAAACTCGTGCCACCCTCTTGCGGGACATTTAAAAGGGGACGGAGGGAGTAATTAGCAATTTAAATGATAATCGAATCATCAAATATTAAAATTAATATACTTATAAGTTATAACATCACAATTATCATTAATGACCTCATTATATTATATACCCACCAAAATTACTTCTCAAAATATATTGATGTCGCCTTATTTAATTTTTGTCTAAAAATTATGCCATCTTTTAATGGGAACCTAAATCAGAACGGGGTAGAATTATATAATATTATATTACTTGCATGCTTGCATGACACCGTAACAACTATGATATATATGTACATAGGTACATACACACATGTATATACATAATTCATTTAAGATGCATACTAATTCACAAAGAAATATCAACAACATTCATCGGTTTGTGTCAAGTTTAGTTGACTATGAATTATAATAAAGACTTTAAAGTGCAGGTTTGACTTTAAAGTCCTTTGTTATTTTATTAGTTATGTCACGCCCCGGACCTATCCGGGCACGTCAACAACCCGCCGTACAGTACGAATAGCCAACCGCAGTTTAACTCATCCATGCTATACAAGGCGTCTTGAATACCATTCACACATCGTACATCCATAAACAAACATAATGTAAAAACATTTATTAAAGCAGCGGAAACATTTATACAAATGTTCAAGCCACACTTGGCAGACTTGGGCATACGAGCCCCCAAATAATTATTCAAAAATAATATACATGAGCATTATTTAAATTGTTTTCAAAACAGGAACGGAAGAAGCACGAACCAAGTCTTCTTCCTTCGATCTCCCCGAAGCAACGGGCGGTAGTAGCAACCTTCAAGTTCTACCTGAAACTGTGAGGTGGCCTCCCCCCGTGAAGGGGAGGTCAGTACTTTGAAGCATTTGAAAAGTACAATGACAACTACATTGTATATAATCAATGTTTCAATTTCTAAGACCCTCAAACAGAGTGATATCATAATATATATGATAATTCATATTTTTACCCCTTATTATCTTTATAATAAGTTAATTTATTAATTTGTCGGCACGCGGGACCCTTTATATATATTCCATTTCATTCATCGTTCACACGACACAACCCGTAGGTCTTATTGTTTCTACGGGACTGACTACCGCTCTCTGAGGCCTCATAAGGTCCATCAGTTCGGATTCCAACATCCCACCCCTGGACTCATACCCATCATCCCGTGGGAAGGTACAACCCTTCGGGGTCCTATCTTATGTGTTACCGCTGTCGGAGCCTAGTTAGATCTCTGATTCGGATTCCACCCTAACCCATGATCACGTTGCAAGTCCATGCTATCCAACCCCGCTCTCTAGAGTCAGAAAGGGCCATGGTCCTTGCTTATTACCATAATTCAACCGACTATTCTCAAGGACTACCGAACACACCCGTAGGCCAATCCTATATCTAGGATCAATTTATTATTCTCTTTATCTTGGGTATCCCTTAAGGCCCACCCCTAGTATAACTTAAAGTTCATACATTCCTACCTTAAAGCATCTCTTAAGAGTACTTAAGGCATACCATTTCCCAATCCATCCTTAGGATCAATTCTGCAACATTTCACTTTAATGCCCGACTAGTATTAATTCCAACAAACAAGGTTCTCCATTCATAGTCATATAGACAATTTACAAACTGATTTTCCATTGAAAATATCATTTATATCAATATACAAAATATCACTTTCAATCACTCATATATTCTTATATGAAGAAAAAGTATATTTCAACATAAGTTCCATAGTTAATTCCATTATCAAGTCAACATATTCGCAACACATGATCATACACAATTTACTCTTAAATTTGTATATCATGCTCTTTTTCCTTATAGACAATAGTCTTCTCATTCCTAGGCATTATTAATCATTAATAATCCATAAAAACACATTTAATTACCTTAGGTAATCTCATGAAATTAACTCACTAATTATAAGCAATATAGTCAGCCATCCTCACCTCGAATGAGCTTTAAGAAGTTCTACCCTTCTCGGTTGAACTCCGGCGAAACTCCGGCGAACTCCGACGATACTCCGGCGATACTCCGGCGACAGTTAGGAACACCTAAGTCAAACTCCTAACAAGGTTTCATCATCATAAAACCTATATCAACACAAATAACCTCTAAAAGGTTATTTTCTGACGAACCGGTCAATTGGCTTCTAAGTCCGTTCTTAGACTTAAAACTACCTTCCAACCCCTTGTTCTACACTTCTAAACACGTAGAAAAATCGTAGGGGTCCTCCATATGCTATATAAGTCATATTGTAAGGAATATTTGTATTTAGATTTTGATGATGCTAGATTAATTAGGACTTTAGAGTACCCCTCTTTAGACTTAATGTATTAGAATTTTCATTTGTAAAGTTCTTAGTTTAATCGACTTGGCAGAAAGCCTCCAGAGCAGAAGACCTTCTGAGCAGAAGGGCTCCAAGGGCAGAAGACCCTTTTTAAGACATTGTTAAATAGAGGACCTTTGGTTCTCTGCTTCAGAACAGAAGACCTCAGGGTCTCTGTTAGCCTTTACTCTGACAGAAACCCTCCTGGTTTCTGTTGGATATATTCTCAACAGAAGTGCTCCAGACCTTCTCTGATCAACTCTCTGTTAAAGACACCAGAAGGCCTGACACTTAGAAGAATTCCACAAAGCCGGGAAATCAACTGAAAGATTCCTTCAACGGCTAGGAGTATTGAACGGAAAATCTACAGTGCGCGCATTAAATGCTCATTTAATGCTCCCCATGCTCCGTAGAGTAATTGCAGATGATTGGCCGCAATGTCAGGATTACTTTATCCCAAAATAGTAACCCGCCAACTTTACCGGGTCCTACTGGTCAAGTCAACTGCTCGCTCATTTAATGCAGTTGTCCTCCTTCTCCTCCAACGGGAAGACAACCTCAGTATAAAAGATACACTACGAAGAACAACCGGATAACTTTTGCAATTTTTGCTAACCTTTGCTACAACTCTGCATACAAGAAATTCAAACGCTTAAAAGCAAAAAGCCTCCTTGAGATTAACACTTCATCATCCTCTACAAGAGAAGGCAGAAGTTGGAAAAATACTTATTTCCAACTCAAGCAAAGTTCCAAGTGTTCTTCAACTCTTCAAGTTCATCACATACAAACTCTTTGTAACGAAGCTAGTTGGAGGAACCCCTGTTCTAAATAGAACCTCTTCTTTCACAAGAAGGACGTCCAAGTATCTGGAGCTGTGAAGTGGTGATATTTCTGGAAAGCTCAGTAAAAGGACCAGTCTTAGGGAAGTCGGAAGTGCATCCAAGGAGACATCTACACTTGAAGAAGACATGGAGAGCTTCTTAAGTGATAGGGCTAAGGCATTGTAAACGGAAGTTTTTACAGCTTAGTGGAACAGTGGACTAGAGGAACAAGTTGTTCCTTGAACCACTATAAAAAGCCCTGGTGTCATCTAGTTACTGCTTTTCATTCATAGTTTTTACTTGAACTGTTTGACTCCAACGACTTGGTATCTGTGTTCAGCAGAATTGGTCTTGTGAGTTAACAGAAGGCCTACTGCCTTTGCTTCTCTGAGGCTACTAACAGAACTCCCTACCAGAACCCCATCCGCTGCCAGTCTGTTCTGCCAACAGAACAGGCTATTCTGTTAAATCTGGTACTTATCTTGAAAAAGTTAAAAACCAATACAGTCTATTCACCCCCCCTCTAGACTGTATCCAGTGCAACCGGGACCAACAAGTGGTATCAGAGCCTCCTTGTTCTAATAATCTCTTAGGTTATTTGCTGAACAAAGATCCACTTGTTTTTCTGTTTGACCTCATTTTTATCTGATATAATGAATCACTCTTTGTCCAAGAATCTTATGTTTTCAGATCTTAAGTTTGGTGACTGGAGGATCCGGATGAAGGCACATCTTTGTGCTCTTCATGATGAGATGTGGGAAGTTCTTGACATAGGACCCTTCACAAGCTTCCAGAAGGTCAACCCAGAACATGCTATTGACAACACTAGACCTCAGATGATCAGTAAAGCCAAATCTGAGTGGACAACTGAAGAAAGAAGGAAGTACAATCTGGACAACATTGCTAAGGACATCCTTTACAAGTCCATTGATGATAGGTACTTCAATAGAATAAAGAAGTGCAAAACTGCAAAGGAAATCTGGGATACTCTTGAGCTCATTGGAGCTGGTGATGAGCAAGAGAAGGACAACAAGCTGACAACAGCCAACAAGAAGTTTGATGACTTCAAACTTCTCCCTGGTGAAAGCATCTTCAAGATGTATGACAGGCTCCTCACTCTCACTGGAGAGATCTCTGAGCTTGGCAAGGAACTCACCACCAAGGAGATCAACCTGAAGGTGTTGAGGGGACTGCCCTTAGCATGGAAAATGAAGGTAGTTGCTGTCCAAGCCAGCAAGGATGTAA